AGAGAGAGAGAGAGAGAGTGGCTTTGCGCGAAGCTCTGCTCTGCAGGTGCGCAACGGCGAAATCTTTGTCGAGACTGTGCAGAGCAGGGTGCGCATCTCGTGGGATCGCAGTGGGCGAGCGAGCGAGCCAGAGAGAGAGGAAGAGCAGACCCAATTTTTTGGCAACCCACCGACCGCATCTTCAAAGCGCGGGCCCTCATCGAATGGCTGCTGCTGTTGCTGCTCTTGCTGCTCGCTGCTGCCGCTCCCGCCAACATCGCTTCTACCTCGGTCGCTTCTCCCTTCGTATCCGCTACCACACCCCTCCCCCCCCCTCGTCGTCGTCGTCGGCATCCGCTGCTCACATCACGATGGCTTCGTTCTCTCGCAACCTGCTGCGCTCGGCGGGCAAGGCTAACGCCCTCCCCGCCTACTCGCGCAACGCCATCCCCTCGTCGTCGCGCTTCGTCTCGCTCACCGCCGAGGCCTCGCGCCCCGCACAGGAGGTGCCCGCCTCCAAGTCCGAAAAGTTCAAGGTCGACCTCAACGAGGACTCGTTCAAGGGCTACAAGTTCGACGTGCCCAAGCTCGAGTGGGAGACCTCCAAGGACGAGCTCATCCACCTCTACGCCGAGATGGTCAAGATGCGCCGCATGGAGATGGCCGCCGACCAGCTCTACAAGCAGAAGCTCATCCGCGGTTTCTGCCACTTGGCCATCGGTCAGGAGGCTGTCGCCGTCGGCATGGAGGCCGGCATGAAGCCCTCGGACAAGCTCATCACCGCCTACCGATGCCACCCCTTCACCGTCCAGAAGGGCGGCACCATCAAGTCGGTCATCGCAGAGCTCTTCGGTCGCGAGGCCGGTATCTCCAAGGGCAAGGGTGGCTCCATGCACATGTTCACCCCGACCTTCTTCGGCGGCAACGGTATCGTCGGCGCGCAGGTGCCCGTCGGCGCCGGTATCGCCTTTGCCCAGCAGTACCTCAACACCAACGACGCCACCTTCGCCATGTACGGTGACGGTGCTTCCAACCAGGGTCAGGTCTTCGAGGCCTACAACATGGCCAAGCTCTGGGACCTCCCCTGCGTCTTTGTCTGCGAGAACAACAAGTACGGCATGGGCACCTCCGCCGAGCGCTCCTCGATGAACACCCAGTACTACACCCGCGGTGACGTGATCCCCGGTATCCAGGTCAACGCCATGGACGTCCTCGCCGTCGCCGCCGCCACCAAGCACGCCTCGGACTTCACGCTCGGCGGCAACGGCCCGCTGCTCATGGAGCTCGTCACCTACCGCTACGGTGGCCACTCGCTCTCCGACCCCGGCACCACCTACCGCACGCGCGACGAGATCCAGACCATGCGCTCCTCCAGCGACCCCATCCAGGGCCTCAAGACGCGCATGCTCGACTGGGGCATCGTCGAGGAGGCCGAACTCAAGAAGATCGACAAGGCCGCAAAGGAGGAGGTCGACCAGGCCGTCGAGGAGGCAAAGCAGTCCCCACAGCCAAAGGAGGAGACCCTCTGGACCGACATCTACTACCCGGGCACCGAGCCCGACTGGATGCGTGGCCGTGACCGCACCGAGATCCACCGTTACCGCTAGATTTCCGTGACCGGTGTCAAGTAGCTTTAATGCTCAGTTCACGCTTCACCCTTCTTTTCCCCCTTTCATCCCGACTGTAATATGCCACTCGAGTCCTTTTTCCTTTCTCACGTCACACAGCTCAAGGTTCGTGCACAGTCTGATCCAGGCGCGTCAGAAGCTGCGGGAAATGTCTTGTTTTTTGCGAAAGATCCGCAGATGTTGTGCTCAGTCGAGGGCGGAAGGGGGGAGGGCCCCGCTTAGTAGTAGAGCTTGAGCAGGTCGAGTGCGGTTCGGGCCGTGTCGGCAATGTGGGCCGAGGCATGCTGGTGGGCCGTCTTGAGGATGAGTGCGTTGAGAATCGCAAACAGGCGCTGGACAGTCGCTGGGCTGAGCGTAACGAGCTCAGCCGCAAAGCCGGCGGGTCCCAGCTTGCTCGCAGCAACCGAGGCAGTGGCGCGCGTGGAGAGCTCGATCCAGGTGCGTGCAAACTCGACGAGCTCGGTCTGTAGGAACGTCTGTCCCGCCGGCGTGTTCCACGGCTGCGGACTGGTGGCCAGCGCAGACTCGAGAATGTCGAGGATCAACTCGGGCGCGCCCGTGGCCCGCAGCACAGTCTGACTCGCCCATCCGTCCGGGATACTGACGGCGCCCGCATCGCCGTCGTCGTTGGCTCGACGTGCAAAGCCGGCAGGGATGCTTTCCTGTCTCGCCGCACCCGCCTCGCGCGTCTGCTCGAATCCGTACCGCAGCAGTAGATCAAACACATTGTCGATCGGACACGCAACCTCGCTGCGGTCCAGACGCGTGAACAGCTCGACGGTCAGCGCCGAAATCGCCTTGTACGCCTCGTCGGCCCGACTGCGTGCGTGCTGCTTGGCAATGAGCGCAATCCAGATCTCCGACACGAGCCCGACATCGTTGAGCTCTGCAGAAGCAATCATGGCCAACTGCTCCTCGAGCAGCTCGAAAGGCTCGGCGAGATTCTTGTACAGCGTCGACAGATCCAGCAGCTCCTCGTTGAGCCACTCGACCGAGTCCGCCAGCAGCGCGCCGCGCTCGGCATCCACGTCGTCGGCGCCCATCTGCTGCAACGCCTGCAGCACGCGCGCCTGGATCTGCGCCACCTCGAGCGAGTCCTCGGCCTGCGCCAAGAAGCTCACAACCTCGTTCGCCTCGACGTTCGACGGCGACACCGACTTGGCATTGCCCACCGCCAGCGCCAGATACTCGATCCTCTCGCGCAGATCCAGCCCAAATTCCTTGCTGTGCGCGAGCGCGTCCAGCACCTGCGCCGCCGCAAAGTACTCGCCATGGCGAACGTAGAACTGCCAGAGCAAGTTGCGCAGCGTACGCAGAAAGTTGGCGTCCTGACCGCGAGCGCCCGGCGGACGCTGCACGAGGTACTGCTCGAGGTAGGGCGTGTGCATCGAAAGCAGCTGGTCGGTCATCTTGCGCTCGATCAGCCACGCATACATGCTCTCGTGGAACAGCACGTCCTGCGACGCCTCGGCGCGCGCATACGCCTCGCTGCGTGCCTTGTCGCGCGTGCTGATCGCCAGCCTCACCTGCGCCTCGTCGCCTCCGAGGTTGTACGCCGCATCCAGCCGCTCATCGAGCTGCTGCAGCGTCTCGAACACGAGCTCGTACGCCTTCTTGAGGCGCTCCTCCACCTCTCGGCGCGCCCGGTGCTCCGGCCCCTCGGGACTGCCTTCGGCGACGTACGAAGCCGCCGTGCCCGCCGGATCCCACTCGGCCGCGCACTGCAACGCGAGCTCGATGGCGCCCGTCGCAAAGCCAAGCGCGCGATAGTCCTCGCAGACTCCGCGCAGCTTGTCGGGCGAGAGCTGGCTGGCTCCCTTGGCGAGCAGCTTTTGGCTCATGCGCAGGTTGTCCATCTTGTCTTGCTCCGAGCGCGTCTCCTTGGCGCGTCGGATGCACTCGGTCGCCTTGTACTGGCGAACATCGTCTGCCGAGCAGAAGCTGCCGCATCTTGCCTGTAGCGCATCGGCGACCGCATCGATGCTGACCTGTGCGCCGATGCGCGCCTCGATGAGCGCGGTCACGAGCTCCTTGGACGCGCGCTTGCCCTCTTCGGACGTGATGAGCTGGCCGAACCTCAGGTTGGCGATCACGCCCTTGGCTTCGGCCGAGCACGCGTCGATGAGCGGCTTGAGTCCGTGATCGATGAGGAAGAGCATAAAGTTGGTCGCCTCCATGGCGCGCGACACGAGCGCACGCAGCCTGCCGAAGCTCTCCTGGTCGAGCTTGGCGGCGCGTTCTTGGTCGTAGCCCATGCCGTTGACAAAGCTGCGGTTGGCAGACGACGCGCCAAGCCCGAACAGCTTGGCACTCTGCTGCATGAAGTCGTGCAGCGGGATGAGATCCACCAGCGTCTCCTCCAGATCCTGCTTGCGCAGCGGCAGCTTGGCTGCTGCCGACGTGGGAACGGTGGTGGTAGGACGATACGAGGTCAACGCCGAGCTCGCAGGAGCAGCTGCGGGCTTTGCTCCCGGCTTGGCAGGCTCGGACGGCATGATGGCGCGGTCCCAGACGCGCTTGAGGATGCATGCGATGTAGAGCGCCAGACCGTCGTGACGCGAGGTCCGGGGCGTGGAGAGCGCGGCCGACACCGTGGTGTCTGCAGGCCAGGATCCGTACTGGCTGAAGAAGACGCGGGAAGCGAGCGCGGTCACGTCGTCCGAGACGGTCTGCGCGAGACCAGCGGGCACGCCTCCCGAGGATCCAATCGTGACGCGCGGAGCGGCCACCTGGGCATTGTGCGCGGCGATCGCAAGCGCACTTTCGCAAGCCTCGATGGATCCAAACAGGCCAAAGAATTGCATCATGGCCGCGCTGCTGACGGCGACGCCCGACTCGAGCAAGCCCCTGAGGGTGTCAACGGGACGGCGCTCGACGAGCTCTGTGAGACCGTTGTTGTCGAGCACGAGGAAGCTGCGTGGCGGACGCAGATTTTGTGCGTAGGTGGCGCGGACCAGCTCGCCGTTGTCGGTGATCTGTGGCAGCGGGTGAGACGAGGGCGCCTCTGCAAAGACTGGTGTGCTGAGCGCGAGCTCGAGGTCGATGAAAGTGGCCTTCTCCACAGGCCCAGTTGTGGTGGCATTGACATTGAGCGCGGGAGTGATGGCGCAGATCTGGCACGGAAGGCTGTTGTAGTTGAAGCCCATCATGAAGACGTCGCCGGCGTAAAAGACGGAGGAGACGGCTCTTGTGATTGCCTCTTGTGTCGGCTGCTGCTGCT